AAAGATGGAGAGAGCTGACCAGAATATTAAAAAAGGTTTTTAGGCTCAGGCAGTAAAACAAGGAAAGAGACCGATTGATAAAGGTGGTATTCACAAGTGAGAATAAAAATGAGGACCTGTTAGCAAAAAAGAGTGGACTAGCAAATTTACTGAAGTTCAAAAAAGTACTCCTGCAGAGGGATATGACAAGGTACGAGAGAATGAGGGCAGCAGCCATGAGGAAGGAGCGCAGAGAAAAAGAAAAGAATCAGGGAACCACAACCCTGAATGCTACAATCTCAGAGGGGAGTGGGGAACTCTCCACTAGCAGTTCAACAGCCTCAGTGAGAGAAGCACCACCCCTAAGTTTCACCTAATAGACGTCCTATCTGCCTCAACCCCTATCTAACCCCCTTTCCAGGTGCCCATCTAGGGCACCCTCACCCCACTGCCCCCCTCCCCAAGTCCACCCTTCTCCCCCACCCCCCAAGGCCTCCATTATTCCCCATGCCCTCTCTTCTCCCTCACCCTCAAGCCTCTCTCTCTCTCTCTCTCTCTCTCTCTCTCTCTCTCTCTCTCTCTCTCTCTCTCTCTCTCTCTCTCTCTCTCTCTCTCTCTCTCTCTCTCTCTCTCTCTCTCTCTCTCTCTCTTAGGGAAAAACATGACAGGCAGACAAACTCAGGGAGACGAAGGCAGGGTGACATATATGGCAGGAACAAACCCAGAGGAAGGGGAGGGACAGGATTCCTTGATTAGGGAGACATTTGCACAAATGTGGAGTGAATTCAGTGAAAAAATATTGCCGGAATAACCATGGACATCTTCAAGAGAAAACTGGACTGTTTTCTAAGAAAAGTTCTGGATCAACCGGGCTGTGGTGGGTATGTGAGCCTGCGAGCCGCTCCAAGCAACAGCCTGGTGGACCAAACTCTCACAAGTCAAGCCTGGATTCGGGCCAGGCTTGGAGAGTAGAAGAACTTCCAGAACCCCATCAAGCAGATATCAAGCAGGTAAAGACTCAGGGCAATGAGGGAGATAGTAACCAGCCTGCAGGTTGAGCTAAAGGCAGCAAAGGAGGAAATAAGAAGCCTGAAAGAGAATCCTCCCTAATACCAGACACAAACCATCCCTCAGGGAGATGGTAATGTTCCTGTAGAGGGGACTTCTAAAATACAACCCTAATATGCAGACTTGTTTAAAAAAGAACCTGAAGCTAGGTCTGCAGTTGGGAAGTTGCCATGGAAGTGTCTTCTTCTCATGAAGCAGCTAGATGTACTAGCTGGCTGATAGAGAAAAAAAGAGCAGGAGTAAGAGTAGGCATTAAAGAGCAAACACGAACCAGTCCAGCGGAGTGGAGAGACAAGGACAAAAAAGAAGTTAATGAGATCCTTAAAGGGGTAAAGATGGAGAGAGCTGACCAGAATATTAAAAAAGGTTTTTAGGCTCAGGCAGTAAAACAAGGAAAGAGACCGATTGATAAAGGTGGTATTCACAAGTGAGAATAAAAATGAGGACCTGTTAGCAAAAAAGAGTGGACTAGCAAATTTACTGAAGTTCAAAAAAGTACTCCTGCAGAGGGATATGACAAGGTACGAGAGAATGAGGGCAGCAGCCATGAGGAAGGAGCGCAGAGAAAAAGAAAAGAATCAGGGAACCACAACCCTGAATGCTACAATCTCAGAGGGGAGTGGGGAACTCTCCACTAGCAGTTCAACAGCCTCAGTGAGAGAAGCACCACCCCTAACTTTCACCTAATAGACGTCCTATCTGCCTCAACCCCTATCTAACCCCCCTTTCCAGGTGCCCATCTAGGGCACCCTCACCCCACTGCCCCCCTCCCCAAGTCCACCCTTCTCCCCCACCCCCCAAGGCCTCCATTATTCCCCATGCCCTCTCTTCTCCCTCACCCTCAAGCCCTCCATTTACCCCCACCCCTCTAGGCCCTCCAATCTCCCCCACTCCCCTAAGCCCTCCATTCTTCCTCACCCCCCCCCCCCCACAACCCTCCCTTCCCCCACACACTCTGTGAGGGAATGGAATTCCCAGCTAGTTTTTGTAGATTATGTTAGAGTGTAGGGTGTACTCTAGCGCTCTAGACAAGAAGTTCACACACACTACAAGTCCTCGTGGGAAGTCTAAAGAGAGACTATGCTTTGGGCTGTTCATTAAGACTATGATGGAGTCTGTAACTGCTCTGTGGAAGGAGTTACAGCTTTTTACACGTTTTACTTAAAAAATGTGTGTAGAGGAGAGTGAGGTATAGGCTCGGTGCCTCCCCCACACTAGATGATGTCGCCTTCCCTGTCCTGCTGCCCAGTGACGTCACATGGCTCCGCGTGGCCAAGGACGTCCCTGATTGGGCCAGGCACCTTGGCATCTAGTAGGCGCTTGGACGCCAAGTCCTGTGATTGGAAGAGGCATCTTGTGGGCCTGCCAGCTTCCCTCTCATTGGGAGAGTTCAAAAAACAGAGAGGCGGACCAGCACGTTGGTCCTGCATCTGGCGGAAAGATTCAGTAGGAAGCCAGCAGTTACCTAGGGTGGAGGTGTTGTGGGAGGATGAGAAAGGCCACCCAGCCTCCATCCACCATGGGCGTTCCCCTCGGTTTTCTTCCCATTTGTTGATTCCCATCATGAGGTGTGTCAGAATCCACCTTAAGCGATAGTGGGGAGGAGAGGAATCGTCAAGGGAATGGAGACAAGAAGAAATTGTGAGTGTCTCACACACGTGCATCTCGGCAGGGCCACCAGCCTGTCTTTGTGATCCTTGTGATCTGCCTGTATCGTGTCATCTGTGTTATTGACTGAAATGTTTGGCAGGAAGTAGAACCGGGGATGGTTTCTCAAGTGGTAGAGTGGAATTTTGCAGTGGAAGTGCAGTGGAATTTTGTAAAATTATCTGTCCGTGTTGGGACATTGAATTCTACCTCACCTACATCGCCATTACGTGCACACCAGCATGCCCTGTGTCCAAGCACCACCCTGCTCTTTGCGTGTGTGGGTGTATGCGCGCGCGCGCGTTCACAAAGCCTACACACCAATTGTGTATGCCTGAGGGCTACACAGCCAGCCTACGCCACGCCTCATCTTGGCAGCAGCGCCAGCATCGTCTCACATCACCCTGTGGCTACACCTTATGGCTACATTGGGTCTATGCACGTGGTTATGGCAGAACCACGTGTGAGGAGTTGGGTGATCTTCAGCTTCAGTGCTTCAGCCAGTGGAGTGAATGAGGAGAGTGATGACGTGAGTACTCAAATTTATGTATTGGTGCAGTTGTCTCAGCGCTGATGTTAAATCAGATACCAGCTGTGGTTGTCCCAAGCACCTGCTAGGTGAGGGAAGCCAGTTGCAGAGGCGCACCATTATTGACGTCAAATAGCAGCTGTGGGAGGTCACAGACTGTCTGTAAGGACTGAGTGTGTATGATATAAACATTAACACAATTTGATGTATATGTAGTACAAATTGTGTGTTGACTGTCTCGGTTATGTATACCATTCTGTGTGGAGATTTCATATATATATATATATATATATATATATATATATATATATATATATATATATATATATATATATATATATATATATATATGTCGTACCTAGTAGCCAGAACTCACTTTTCAGCCTACTATGCAAGGCCCGATTTGCCTAATAAGCCAAGTTTTCATGAATTAATATATTTTCTCTAATTTTTTTCTTATGAAATGATAAAGCAACCCATTTCATTATGTAAGAGGTCAATTTTTTTTTATTGGAGTTAAAATTAATGTAGATATATGACCGAACCTAACCAACCCTACCTAACCTAACCTAACCTATCTTTATAGGTTAGGTTAGGTTAGGTAGCCGAAAAAGTTAGGTTAGGTTAGGTTAGGTTGGTTAGGTAGTCGAAAAGCAATTAATTCATGAAAACTTGGCTTATTAGGCAAATCGGGCCTTGCATAGTAGGCTCAGAAGTGAGTTCTGGCTACTAGGTACGACATATATATATATATATATATATATATATATATATATATATATATATGTCGTACCTAGTAGCCAGAACGCACGTCTCAGCCTACTATGCAATGCCCGATTTGCCTAATTAGCCAAGTTTTCCTGAATTAATATAATTTCTCAATTTTTTTTCTTATGAAATGATAAAACTACCCATTTCATTATGTATGAGGTCAATTTTTTGTTATTGGAGTTCAAATTAACGTAGATATATGACCGAACCTAACCAACCCTACCTAACCTAACCTATCTTTATAGGTCAGGTTAGGTAGCCAAAAAAGTTAGGTTAGGTTAGGTTAGGTAGGTTAGGTAGTCGAAAAACAATTAATTCATGAAAACTTGGCTTATTAGGCAAATCGGGCCTTGCATAGTAGGCTGAGAAGTGCGTTCTGGCTACTAGGTACGACATACATATATATATATACACACATATATATATATATATATATATATATATATATATATATATATATATATATATATATATATATATATATATTGTTACGGCCCTCTAGGGTCGCAACTGGGTTCTTTCTCTGATATTAGTAGAGTTTGGGTATCCGGCCCCAAGCTAGTAGTGGCTTTCAAGCCACTGATGGCTTCCCCTGTTACCTAGCAGTAAATAGGTACCTGGGAGCTAGTCAGCTGTCATGGGCTGCTTCCTGGGGTGTGTGTGTGTGTGAATGTGTAGTGTGGATAGTTGAGAGGCGGGATGAAAGAGCAAAGCTCAACCCCCACAAGCACAACTAGGTGAATACAACTAGGTAAATACAACTAGGTAAATACACAACCCAGGATGAACAACAATTGTCTTCCTGGTTCAGTTGTTAGTTTAGGTCATTTTCCCCGCCGTGTACTAATATAATCATCAAGTGATAAACTTAACTTTATTACATTATACATATGGTCTCTTAAAGAGGAAAGTAAACAACATTTCCTACAGAAATATAAATTGTTACTGGTGGACAATAAAGACGATATCCTCGCCCCAAGACGTGATCTGTGAAGACTAAACTTACATTCCCAGAGATCATTGTCTCTGTCGATGGTGGAGAACTTCATTCCACTGATGTTGTGGTGCCGTACAAGGACGTCCCCCATGGTACTCTCTCCCTGGTACCCGTCCACCAGCAGCTGGTACCTGGTCCATGGTAGGAGATGGTGAGAGCTAACTAGTACCACAAAGGAAGTCGTGTTAGTACCTGGTCCATGGTAAGAGATGAGAGAGGTACCAGGCAACACACAGTTCAGTTAGAGGTACAGGTACCTGGTCCATGGAAGGAGATGAGAGAGGTACCAGGCAACACACACAGAGATGCAGGTACCTGGTCCATGGAAGGAGATGAACGAGGTACCAGGCAACACAGAGTTAGAGGTGCAGGTACCTGGCCCATGGAAGGAGATGAGAGAGGTACCAGGCAACACACAGTTCAGTTAGAGGTACAGGTACCTGGTCCATGGTAGGAGATGAGAGAGCACAAGCTGCAGCACAAGCTGCAGCACTACAAGCACCACAGTCAGCAGCACAAGCAGTAGCATTACAAGCACCACGGTCAGCAGCACAAGCAGTAGCATTACAAGCACCACAGTCAGCAGCACAAGCAGTAGCATTACAAGCACCACAGTCAGCAGCACAAGCTGCAGCACTACAAGCACCACAGTCAGCAGCACAAGCAGTAGCATTACAAGCACCACAGTCAGCAGCACAAGCAATAGCATTACAAGCACCACAGTCAGCAGCACAAGCAGTAGCATTACAAGCACCACAGTCAGCAGCACAAGCAGTAGCACTACAAGCACCACGGTCAGCAGCACAAGCAATAGCACTACAAGCACCACGGTCAGCAGCACAAGCAGTAGCACTACAAGCACCACGGTCAGCAGCACAAGCAGTAGCATTACAAGCACCACAGTCAGCAGCACAAGCAGTAGCACTACAAGCACCACAGTCAGCAGCACAAGCAGTAGCATTACAAGCAACACAGTCAGCAGCACAAGCAGTAGCACTACAAGCAACACAGTCAGCAGCACAAGCAGTAGCATTACAAGCACCACAGTCAGCAGCACAAGCAGTAGCACTACAAGCAACACAGTCAGCAGCACAAGCAGTAGCATTACAAGCACCACAGTCATCAGCACAAGCAGTAGCATTACAAGCACCACAGTCAGCAGCACAAGCAGTAGCATTACAAGCACCACAGTCAGCAGCACAAGCAGTAGCATTACAAGCACCACAGTCAGCAGCAAAAGCAGTAGCATTACAAGCACCACAGTCAGCAGCACAAGCTGCAGCACAACAAGCACCACAGTCAGCAGCACAAGCAGTAGCACTACAAGCACCACAGTCAGCAGCACAAGCAGTAGCATTACAAGCACCACGGTCAGCAGCACAAGCAGTAGCATTACAAGCACTACAGTCAGCAGCTCTATAGTGCCAGTCAGCCGCCATATTGTTTACAAGTCTTCGTGAGTGACAAAAGGTCATTGAATCACCAGAACGAAACAGACTGGTATCAGGTAACACCTGGTGACAAGGTGAGATTCAGATCATCTTTGAGATCATCAAGCTGATGAGTCAAAGTGAGATCATCAAACACCAGCAACAGTAACAACAGCAGCACCAGCAACAGTATCATCAGCAGCACCAGCAACAGTAACAACAGCAGCAACAGTAACAACAACAGCAGCACCAGCAACAGTAACAACAGCAGCAACAGTAACAACAACAGCAGCACCAGCAACAGTAACAACAGCAGCAACAGTAACAACAGCAGCAACAGTAACGACAACAGCAACAGTAGCAACAGAGGGAAGGAGCAAGACTCACCCGGTACTCTCGCTGGCGACGCTGAAGGTGGACCAGAGCGCCCAGCGGTGATCATCCTGGTTGTTGGTGGCGGCCAGACCCACTGTCTGGGGCGAGGGCTGCGTCAGCTGGTGCACCGCCTCCGTCCCTGTCACAGATGGTAATATAGTCCTCCGTCCCTGTCACAGATGGTAATATAGTCCTCCGTCCCTGTCACAGATGGTAATATAGTCCTCCGTCCCTGTCACAGATGGTAATATAGTCCTCCGTCCCTGTCACAGATGGTAATATAGTCCTCCCTCCCTGTCACAGATGGTAATATAGCCCTCCCTCCCTGTCACAGATGGTAATATAGCCTTACGTCCCTGTCACAGATGGTAATATAGTCCTCCCTCCCTGTCACAGATGGTAATATAGCCCTCCCTCCCTGTCACAGATGGTAATATAGCCTTACGTCCCTGTCACAGATGGTAATATAGTCCTCCCTCCCTGTCACAGATGGTAATATAGTCCTCCCTCCCTGTCACAGATGGTAATATAGCCCTCCGTCCCTGTCACAGATGGTAATATAGCCTTACGTCCCTGTCACAGATGGTAATATAGTCCTCCCTCCCTGTCACAGATGGTAATATAGCCCTCCCTCCCTGTCACAGATGGTAATATAGCCCTCCGTCCCTGTCACAGATGGTAATATAGCCCTCCGTCCCTGTCACAGATGGTAATATAGCCTTTCATCTTGTCAGGGAATAGAAATTCCCTGATAGCTTCCACATGGATGATAGTAGAATGCACGCCGTCATTTTGCTTTTACATGCTTTCAGAGTGTGCACAGGAGACCACGCACTCTAAACTCTCGTAATATGGGAGCTAGACGCTCAACATTGGTTACCTTTGGAATACAGACACCCTCAGCAGTTCATTAACACTGTTCATTAACATTACGTTGGCCGGCACAACTCTGCTATGGACATAGTTACAACATTAGAATTTTTTTTAAGCTTTTGCTGCCAAGAAACACCGAGTGAGAAAGGCCCGGAAAGTAGAGTTGGAAATTCTGTTGGACGACATATTCGACCTCGAGACACAAAAGAAGGTCACTACCAAAGATACCTTACAAGCAGAACTTATTGCAGAAGGAGGAAAGAATCGAGGCAATTACAGAAGCACCATACTGTCCCCCGAGCTCAAAGCGGCAGCTAAAAGCCTTCGTGAGAACAAAGAGATAGTTGTCAGGAGAGGTGACAAGTCGCCAATATATGTCATTCTTAAAAAAGACGAATATCTGGCGAAAATGAACCTCATACTCTCTGACCAAACTAAGTTCCAAAGGGTAACGAAGGACACTACAGTCGAATTGAAAGCAAAGGTAAACAAACTGATCGAAACTGTGAACGCCAAGAAATCCGGACTCCACCTGCCAAAGATCATTGGGGAATATAAACCTGGATATGCGTATGGAAATGTCAAGACACACAAGCCTGGAAACCCACTTCGGCCAATCATTAGCCAGATACCCACACCCACGTACAGACTGGCAAAGCAACTCAACGGCCTGCTGACTCCTGATGTTGTTTGCGCCTTCAGCCTGAAGTCTCCAAAGGAATTTGTTGACTTACTGCGGGGCACACGGGCCACAGGGATAAGAGCCTCGTTGGACGTAGAATCGCTGTTTACCAACGTACCTGTGGACGAGACAATCGGGATGATAGCCGACAGAGTGTATCGTGATCCAGCCTGTACTCCTCTTGACATACCAGAAAATATTCTGAGGAAACTACTCCAAGCTTGTACTAAAGAGGCACCCTTCTTGAGCCCGGATGGGCACATGTATAAGCAAGTAGATGGGGTCGCCATGGGTTCTCCCCTAGGTGTCCTGTTTGCAAACTTCTAGATGGGTACCATCGAGCAAAAAGTCTTAGTCGACATGAACTTGAAACCGGCCATATACTGCAGGTATGTTGACGACATTTTTACACAGGTACCTGATGTCAGACATCTGCAGGAGCTGAAGGAGGCATTTGAGCAGAGTTCCGTGCTGCGTTTCACTTACGAGATGGAAAAGGATGGGAAGCTGCCCTTTCTAGATGTAACAGTCATGGAAAAGAGCGGAGGTTTCCACACTGCAGTCTACACTAAGGAAACGAACATAGGAATGTGCCTAAATGCCAACATCGACTGCCCAGACAGGTACAAGAGGAGTGTTGATAACGCATATGTCGACCGTGCTCTCAGTCACAGCTCAGAATGGAAGCAAGTCGACGAAGAACTCTGTAGGGTAAGGCAGGTCCTAGTCAACAACGGCTTCTCCAATGGTTTCGTCGAAGACATCATAAGAAGGAAAGTGAAACGCCATGCAACCTCTGAAGAGACAACTAACACAACACCTATACCCCCTATTAGACTATTTTACAGGAACTTCTTTTCCACAGCTCATAAAACGGAGGAAAGGGTCCTAAAAGATATTGTTAATAGAAACGTTATCCCTACAGACAAAAATCAGAGGATACAACTGACGATTTACTATAAAACCAGAAAAACGGCCAGCCTACTCATGAGAAACTCTCCAGACACAAAGCACAACGCTTTGAAAGAGACCAACGTCGTCTATGCCTTCAAATGCCCACTTGGGGACTGTAAGCTCCAAAAAACCCAGTATATAGGCAAGACAACAACATCTCTTTCTAGGCGTTTAACGATGCATAAGCAACAGGGCTCCATTAAGGAACATATAATCTCTTCCCACAACCAAACCATTGCCAGAGAAATCCTAGTAAACAACACAGAAATCATCGATAGATACAGCGATAGCAGACGGCTTGACGTTTGCGAGGCACTGCACATTAAGAAGTCAACACCAGCAATCAACAGCCAATTAATGCACAACTATATTCTACCCACCTCAAGACTCCGCTCCAATATAGAAGCATCAAGAAATATGGACCAATAGGCTTTCTACAATCACTCCCATTTCAATACCCATTGTTTCGTGTTCTGTCTTGTGTTGATGAAATTAATACCCTATTAAATACCACCTCACCCCATCCACCTCACTCAAATGTAGATATAAACAAATCGGAGATATGTAAGTTCTATTCAGTTGTGTATGTGTAAAATCTTTGAAAATGTAATAAGTTTTACGAAACGCGCTCAAGTGTCGCGTCAGACTAGAAATAAAAATGAATTTTGGAGAATTGATTTTTCAATTTCCTTCAACAGTGAAAAGAAATGTACAAAAGATTGAGTAAATTCGTGTCAGAATTATTAATCTTACTTTTTCGGTCATATTTAATAATATATGTCTACAGGAAAGACTGCTACCAAAATATACTAATATTAAAGCGCACGACCCAGCAGCAAGGAATCAAGCCTTCACGATAAAATATCGCCAGGATCTGATTCGTGATCAGATATACAAGGCAGAGAATGAAATCAAAGACAACAAAACGCAACTACTTCATGCTACAAACGAGTGGAGAAATAGCAACATCGACGAAAGTATCCGTACCCGCATTGAACAACACCTCGACATCCTCACAGACCGACATCACCTCAGCACTGAAACAAGGATTATCAAGAAACTAACAACATTATATGGAGGACCTATGGCAATTCCACGACCAAGAGATGGCTTCCTGAACCTTGCAGGAATTAACCTCACTGAGGGCCAAGTCACTCTCCTAAATCTGGGCATAAACTGTCACGTTATGTTCAGACCAAGTGAGATGGCCCGGAAAGTAGAGTTGGAAATTCTGTTGGACGACATATTCGACCTCGAGACACAAAAGAAAGTCACTACCAAAGATACCTTACAAGCAGAACTTATTGCAGAAGGAGGAAAGAATCGAGGCAATTACAGAAGCACCATACTGTCCCCCGAGCTCAAAGCGGCAGCTAAAAGCCTTCGTGAGAACAAGGAGATAGTTGTCAGGAGAGGTGACAAGTCGCCAATATATGTCATTCTTAAAAAAGACGAATATCTGGCGAAAATGAACCTCATACTCTCTGACCAAACTAAGTTCCAAAGGGTAACGAAGGACACTACAGTCGAATTGAAAGCAACGGTAAACAAACTGATCGAAACTGTGAACGCCAAGAAATCCGGACTCCACCTGCCAAAGATCATTGGGGAATATAAACCTGGATATGCGTATGGAAATGTCAAGACACACAAGCCTGGAAACCCACTTCGGCCAATCATTAGCCAGATACCCACACCCACGTACAGACTGGCGAAGCGACTCAACGGCCTGCTGACTCCTGATGTTGTTTGCGCCTTCAGCCTGAAGTCTCCAAAGGAATTTGTTGACTTACTGCGGGGCACACGGGCCACAGGGATAAGAGCCTCGTTGGACGTAGAATCGCTGTTTACCAACGTACCTGTGGACGAGACAATCGGGATGATAGCCGACAGAGTGTATCGTGATCCAGCCTGTACTCCTCTTGACATACCAGAAAATATTCTGAGAAAACTACTCCTAGCTTGTACTAAAGAGGCACCCTTCTTGAGCCCGGATGGGCACATGTATAAGCAAGTAGATGGGGTCGCCATGGGTTCTCCCCTAGGTGTCCTGTTTGCAAACTTCTAGATGGGTACCATCGAGCAAAAAGTCTTAGTCGACATGAACTTGAAACCGGCCATATACTGCAGGTATGTTGACGACATTTTTACACAGGTACCTGATGTCAGACATCTGCAGGAGCTGAAGGAGGCATTTGAGCAGAGTTCCGTGCTGCGTTTCACTTACGAGATGGAAAAGGATGGGAAGCTGCCCTTTCTAGATGTAACATTCATGGAAAAGAGCGGAGGTTTCCACACTGCAGTCTACACTAAGGAAACGAACATAGGAATGTGCCTAAATGCCAACAGCGACTGCCCAGACAGGTACAAGAGGAGTGTTGTTAACGCATATGTCGACCGTGCTCTCAGCCACAGCTCAGAATGGAAGCAAGTCGACGAAGAACTCTGTAGGGTAAGGCAGGTCCTAGTCAACAACGGCTTCTCCAATGGTTTCGTCGAAGACATCATAAGAAGGAAAGTGAAACGCCATGCAACCTCTGAAGAGACAACTAACACAACACCTATACCCCCTATTAGACTATTTTACAGGAACTTCTTTTCCACAGCTCATAAAACGGAGGAAAGGGTCC